ATATGCCTATCGACATATATATACAGTAAACCCTCTTTGAACAAACAACTTAAAGCTCTCATTTCTTATTGTATAATTATATATTTATGCTATATTTAAGTTTAATGTTCTTATGCTTATATTCCCTAATACGACACTTCACTGTAGCACATATACATACATACATATATGCATTTATGTATGTGCCACGCCTACCCATCTGTTCGTTTTGGCATTAATGTGCATTTACAAGCGCATTTTGTGTGCTCGCACTGCTTTCCACAAACATGCACATTACAAAATTGATTGTTAATCAAGTCCAATAACAGAAACAACAACACCAACGCAGACACATAAACAGATTTCATACTCAATTTAAGCAGATTATGAATTCACATGCAAACGTGCAACATACATATGTATATACATATTTACATATATATGCTAAATATATGTATAACAATGAAACTTCCCGATTTTATGTTTAATTTTTTTAATTTGCCATTATTGGAGTAGCTTTTTTATGGTTTGTTGATGCTGTGTATTGGTTCCAAACATAAATAGAGTATCACACAATCAAAGAACCCAATCTTTTTTACCAATCTATATATAAATGAGCATTAAATTAATATTTTTGTTTCAAAAGTCGCGCGCTTTGACTCCACGTAAGCGCTACCACCTTCACGGCGTTCAACACGCGTTCGCTTAACAGCTTAACAGCCTGCAACATGTGTTAACAGTACAGCTGTTTTCAAGTGTGTTATGTTATTAAATAATAGGAGCCTCTGCAAGCAACCAATAGGAAGAAATATAAAAAACTAGTTAATCTTGACCAAAAATAATATATAAAATGTTGACAATACGCTGTGGCAAGAGATTTGCGCCTACCATGACGCATATAAGTCGTGCAGTTCAAGTGCAGTCAAATTGCGGATTTGCGGCCTCGGCAAGAACACAATTGCAGCACCAACAACAATTACTACAGCAACAACGGAAGCAACTACAGCAGCAGCAACTCAGAGGACTGGCAACGCCAGTGGCTGATAAGGACACTGATGATAAGGATCTTAAACGCATATACTACGGAACATTAGCTCCACGCATGAGGCTGGTGAAGCTGTTCTCGCTCAGTACCAGCTTGGCCGGCTTGGCTGCTCAGCCCATCCTTATGGAGCAGGGAATGAAGATCGGTGGTACGGGCATGGCCGTCTTCCTCTGCTCAGTGGGTGGTTTTTTTACCTTTGTGACGCCCATTCTACTACATTTGGTGACCAAGAAATATGTGACGGAGCTACACTATAATCAAGCTACTGATGAATATATTGCTACCACAATATCCTTAATACTGATAAAGATCAAGGTTAGTAAAGGACTTCATTTGATCTATAATTCTATTCATTCAATTATGATTTTTTAGACGAAGTTCCGACCAAGCGATGTAACTGTGCCCGAGGTTCCGGGCATGTTTACCTCATTTTTGGTAAAAAAGCGCCCGCTCTTCGTTGACCCAGCGCTCTTTGATGATCCCGAACATTATGTTCGAATTATGGGCTACGATAAGCCCATAGACTTTAAATTAAATTTAAAACACGACTCGGAGCGAGTTCAAAAGAAAGAGTAATAAGTAATTAAATAAATGTACAGTTTAGATTGATAAAGCTTTGTTTATTACGTACCGAACTGAGATCTGAACGGTTTATTGTATTTATTAGAAACATATATTTAAATTAACCGCCTTTGAAATAAGTAATTGCTCGCAAAATCTAAACTCTTGCCGATAGAAACTTTGAAAGAAAATTAACAGACTGTTAAACGACAATAGCTCTGTGAGGCACTATATGTATTGCACGATGTCAGTGTGACCATCAGCCGTAACAGTAAATTACAATAAAATGTATCAAATAAATACTAAATATATTTTCAGATCGCTTGTATTCGGTCACGCTGTATTGAACTTACAAAGTTAGCCAGACGCAATTATTTAACGTTTAACTGATAATTGCCGGGTGTCTTAGTACGCAAATAGTGTGCGTATACAATAATTTCTTAATCAAATTCTCATTGGCATCATGGTAGTGTCAGAGAACGAAAAGGTAAGTAAAATATAATAAATGTGTGCCGCATGGTTTCAGCCGTGGCAGGGTCGTCGATAAACAGGGCTGTTGCACAAGAGGGGAGCGTGCAGTAAGGGAAATAAACACACACAGTATACGAGTGCAGCTGGCGTGGCAAGTCATCGCTGGATTTTCGATTTACATTTTTCCATTAGTTAAATTACATACACATCCACATTTCTATTGCTTGCCTTTAACGTAATGCAATAAAGTTAATTATTATCTTCACGCTGTCGTCTACGTAAAATTTCTCGCTCTACGTTACGAAGTTGCTCTCTCTATTTGCATATGTTGTTCTGTGTGTTCTGTGCTGTGCTGTGTCTTTCGTTTGCTCTTTAAAAACACGCCGCGAGTTTGCCTCTGAGGCTGTCATTCTTCTGTGGTGTCGCTCGGTCAGTGGAATTCGTTGAGATTATTACTCGCGCGCACACACGCCTAACTCGCCTTTTTATATATGTACATATATGTATGTTCGTACAAACATAGGTGTGTGTATGTGTGTGTACAAGTGCATATGTGTGCAGCATAAAAAGTAGGTGAAGCAGGAGAAACAGAAAACCAAATTACTGCAATGAGCAACAAAGAGTCAGCGGCCAGCAAGAGAAACAACAGTTACATTTTTTGCCATGGCGACTGCGACGCTTTGCTTTAGACATTTGCAGCTAACGTCATATGAACAGTTCAGTTTAGCCCGTTGGCTTTAAGTAATTCGCCGCCACACTTGTCGGAACTTGCATATTCATATTATATCTAAATTAAACTTATATTTCCTTTTTTTTTTTCCTTTCTCATTTGCCACAAAGATCAAAAGTAGCCAGTGAGAAAAACAAAAGATCCAGGCAAACTGTGTGTATTCAGACATCTGTGTGTGTTGTGTAGTCGTAAATTTTAGCGTGCAAGCAACACATTCATTTCGGAATTTGTACTTCCATTCCAGTACCGAAAAAAGATATTTCGTGTATTATTTTTAACAAATAAAGGACATATATATACGTATATGTAAATGTATATATATATATTTATATATGTATATATGTGTATATATACATAAATAAATACAACATACATAGTAATTTGTACACAAATCGAAAGTAAAAAGCGGCCGCGAATTGCACACACAACAACGAGCTGAACAAGTTAATTTTCTGCATAAAATATTAATGAAACATAAGTGCAAAGTGACAGTGTAATGTCAATGACATCCACAAAATCTCCAGAATCTAATAAAAATCCGTTTTGTAAGCGTCTCTTAGCTTGGTTGAACTGGCAGAAGAGTGAAAAATTAAGAATACTGCAATAAGCAATAATTCCACCCGGCCCGTTATTTACATACATACATAGAGAAACTTACAAAAGAAAAGCTTCAAGCACGCACACATATACACATCCGCATACACTCAAAACGCACACACCTATATATACATATTTATATCTATATATGTATATGTATATATGGTACACAGCAACGACTAGTGAACGCGTCAAGTGAATCAGCGTCTGATCGTCTCGTCGCTCCCACTCGTAAAAGCTCGCGCTCACGTTCCCTCCCATCAGCCCGGCAGCAACAAAAGTCTCTTCAACTCGTTCGGCGGCCTCAACATGCAGAGCGACTTTCACAGAATGAAGAATTTTGCCAACCCCAAATCCATGTTCAAAGTAAACGTCAAAAACTGATTTAGCCAATGAATTCGCCTTCAAATCGCTGTGATTTTAACAATGTTTTTCGTTTTATCTTATCAGAGCAGCACTGTGTCTGCCGGCACTGAACAAGCCAATGCTAGTGCTAACACAGTAGCGCCTGGCCGTCCAGATCCAACTCCAACTGGTACTGTTGCGGCTGCTCCTGCTACCGAAGTGGCTTCCAAGAAAGAGGAGGCCAAGGTTGTCGCCGATCCACAGTCCGACGATGGAGCTGTGCGCACCGAGCATTTGTTTAAACACCCGCTGCAGAACACATGGACCCTGTGGTATTTGGAGAACGATCGCACCAAATCCTGGGAGGATATGCTAAACGAAATTACCAGCTTCGATACAGTCGAAGACTTCTGGAGTCTATACAATCATATTAAGCCGCCATCTGAGATCAAATTGGGCAGCGATTACTCTCTATTTAAGAAGGGTATTCGGTAAGCATGTTAAAATCTGTATTTAAAAGCAATCCTAAACCCTTGTCTTCATAGCCCTATGTGGGAGGACGCTGCCAATAAGCAAGGTGGTCGCTGGGTGATCACATTGAACAAAAGCTCCAAGAATGATTTGGACAACTTATGGCTCGATGTGGTAAGGGAAGAGAAAGGAAGCAGATCTTTGTTTTATTCTCATGATCCATTTTCTTCCAGCTGCTTTGTTTGATTGGCGAGGCATTCGATCATTCCGATCAAATCTGTGGCGCCGTTGTCAATATTCGCGCCAAGAGTAATAAAATATGTAAGAAAATCTCTAATTGGAAAAATTCGACAAATATCTCTATACATATCTGTAATACCTTTTAGCTATATGGACTGCCAATGGCAACAACGAGGAAGCCGCACTGGAGATTGGACACAAGCTGCGCGACGCTCTACGTCTGGGGCGCCAAAATTTGCTTCAATACCAACTGCATAAGGACACCATGGTCAAACAGGGATCAAGTGTCAAATCGATTTATAATTTGTAAAATTTCGAGCTAGGCTCTCTAAATTTTGCAACAGTTTTTTAAGTTTTTTTGCGTTGGCTTTATTACCGGTTATAACCAATCCAGTTTATAGCAACGCAAACAAACTAATCCAAAAAAAAGAAAAAGAAGAAAATAAGCGAGAGATACCCTCTTGTTATCAAAAAGTGGAGCGTCTTATTACACGCGCCGCTCTTTTAGTCATGGAATTTGCGAAAAATAAAAAATACTAAGGTTAAAAACGAATACTTTCTTTTGGATAAAAAATATAATCATAATATTGTTAGTGAGACATTATCTGCTCCACTCGGCGTCGCAAATCTTTTCGTCCACATTCCGAAAGTCCACGGCACAATTGCAATAGTAGCTGCCTGGGATCATTGCATTCGTCCTCTTCGAACATCTGTAGGAGTCGCAAGATGCGTGATTTGAGATCATGTGGGTAGCGCATCTCTATTTCATCCATGGCACCTTCACTTATACTTAGCTTGCGACCCAAATCGCGCCATGAGCGGCCCAATTGCTCGGAAATTTGTTTAAAAACTGCAGCACGCTTCGCATCTGTAAATTGCGCTACAGTCACATAATTTTGTGGAGCTGGAGTTGTAGGTGCGGCTGCTGGCTGCACGACTCGCTGTGAATTGATATGCAACTGATTTTGCAGCTCTTCGGCCAGTCTTTGTTCCTGATAGCAGTTTACGGCTGTTGTGCGCTCAACTCTCTGGTAGTTGTCCAGTGCCTCTTGCAACTGGATATTGTTCATACCAATATTACGCAGTGGCTCAACATTCTCCTCACTAATTTGATCACCACGTTCTAGGCAGTCTATTAAGTCTTCTATAGTATTTATGCGATCCAGTTTTCTTGGGGATCCGATTTCGACGGCAAACGTGTTTTTTAAGTAATCCAAGTCACTGCTGCTGACGCTTTCGATGGCCATTTTCTTGAGCACATCGTAGCACCAATGGACTTCTGCAGCCATGCTTCAGCTTAAAAGAGTACTTTACTTCACAATTATTCACCTATTTTACTGGCAAAACACAAATTTCCGACGTATCGATTGTCAGGGTGACCAAATTTGAGAATGTTTCTAATGTTTATTTATAATTGAAATTTCCCACTCACTCTGCAGTGCTATCGGATGTCTTGCTAGTGCATTGGGTCTACATTTATTTGAATGTACCTCTATTTCATCTATAGTCCCTTCACTTATGATTCGCTTGCGTCCCAAATTACGCAAACATTGACCCAATTATAACTGATGTCTCAGAATAGAAAACATACTCTGATTTCCTATTGAATATTGGGTATAAAAAATTAATTTTAAGTCTATAGAGCTAACTTGCTATAAATTCACGAGTATGATACGTATCGATTGATAGGGTAGCCAAATTCGATTGCGATTAAAACATTGGTTAGTATCGAAAGCAAGTATTTTCACAATTGAAGGGTGCAGCCACACTGCAGTGTTGTCGCAGCTCGTGTCTGTGCAAGTGCGTTTATGTCGCAGGTCAAATCAAAATGCCTTTGTTTTATTTGTAACTACAGCAGATTGCATCTGGTTAAATAAATAAAAATATGTGCAATTGTGAACAATCCAGATTACTGGTCGTGTTATTGCGCCCAAAAATCATATTAAATCAATTTAATTAATTGTTTGTGAATTGAATTAGCAAAATATATAATAATAGACACGCACAAGCACACACTTGCATTCACATTTGCGTCTCGCAGATATTGTTAAAGTTCATTGCCTCAAAACCCCAAGTCGAAGTGCAATAGAAATTGCAATTAATTTTGAAACATTCAAAATAATTACCGGTAAAAACAAATTGTGTGGAGTCAACGAACCAAGAGTACGAAAAAAAGAGAAAGAAAAACATCAACCAGAACAGGGATTTTCTAAAAATAAAACATCAGCAGCAGCCGAAGCAGCATCTGTTCCCCTTTTCAAAACAAACCAATGCACCAAATAGAATAACAACAATAGCTACATTGCAAAAGTTGAGCATATCGACTAGCTAAAATCGGTTCGTGGTCAAAGGTGGCGGTAGGCGGAGAAAAACGGCACAAGAACAAGAAAAAGTAAGAAGACAATAACAATAATAAAACAGCAGCAGCAACAACAACACAAATCGTAAGGGCTGCTACGTAAGAGTGACCAGATCTTTGTAGAAAAAAAAAAAAACGAAACTAATGCATCCTTTTGAATGCAGGTCATAGAGCAACCAAAAACAAATAACACAAAAATGTCGTGCGACAACGCTAAAACCTCCTCAGATATAGAGCATGTAGACTGGAGCACCGGCGGCTCCGGCCAGCACTACGCAAATGTCAGGTAAGTTCGAGTGCAAACTACTTACAAATAAACAACAAATACAAAGGGAAATATTATTTGCCAAGTCGATGCGCAAAGTTATTATTTGAAGAATTTTTGTTTTATGGTTTGTTTAAGTAAAAGGGGGTCTAATATATTATTTAGAGCTAAAACAGAATACACAATATTTATAAAGAAGTCTAATAGTAGAAATTTTTGTTTCACGAAACAAGAGACATTGCGAACCGTTATATTTAACAATTACCCATACTTCATATTTTGTAAAGCTGACCGATTAACTTTTCTACTTACTAAAATAGAATTAATTCTAATAGTAAAGCCCTTTTAGTCTAGCTTAACTAGCTGTTATCTTTAATAGACAATTATAATATATATATATTTTTTAATACATCAATTTTAGAATGCATAAAAAGTGTTAATAGTGCGCTCTATCCTCATAAAAATATCAAAACAGAAGCCGCTCGAGCCGATACAATCTTTCATCTGTTTAACTAGCAGCAAAACAGTCAAAGCCCATTCCATTAATGTAATCTCATTTAGAAAATGTTAATGATGGCAATTAAATTTGCAACAACGCGCGAGCTCACATATGACTGTGAATAGCTTATGGCATAACTAATTTAATTAATCATACGCCAAGTGTATTTGCATACATATATGCATAAGCCCTGCGTACATTTGTCTAATTCCGATTCGTGAGAATTTTATCAATTGAAATGCAAATACAAATGCTCGGTTTTATATACGAATATGCGGTCGGGTGTCAAGCAAATGACACCTGAATGTCTAATTACTTTGATTTGCGACCTGTTTCATCAACTCCCAGGGTGACATATCTATATACTTGTAAATATATTTACATATGTGCAGTATACTATAATATATTTCCCATTCATTCATCCCATTGCTTAAGTTTACATTACGCTGGCCGCAATTATGGCGTCATTTTAATTTATAAACCAGTCACAAGCGCAAACAGACCTCAGATAAAGTATCTTAGACAAGTGTGAACCCGAAACAACTCACCTTTTCTCCTTATCTGAGCAACGTGCAATCTATATGTATTATAATGGGTAAATCTTTAAGCGTAGCCACGGGTACGGGTTGACGGCTCTGCTGTTGCAATTAAATATTTACTCATGTTGCTTACTTATTTGTTGAGCGTATAATTCACTCAAACAAAATTGCAAAACGAAATGTAGCGAAGCTAAATATATTTGAACTGATAAGCCCTATTTGCTATATTATCAACATCATCAAAGTTCCTTAATACTGCAAACATTTTGACTTATACAATAATGTGTTCTACCAACTATATGAGATCATATATTATTATATATACTAAAAAATTAAGAACCCCACTGTTTTTATTTGTAAATTACAATGTTTCACAACTTATGGGAATAACCACAAAAGATTATTTTGTATTTCTGGATAATCCAATTTTTGAGAATTGCATTTTTAGATATCATTTGCATATACAAAGTTAATATATGTATATTGTATTATACATATATTATCTATAGGTTTACCTTGAAGTGTTTTTCATAAATTAGTTGCTCAATTTTAAAGTGCAAAAACAAAACGAGTTTTAAGCAAAAGTAAAAATAAAGTATAGGCAGCTGAAAAACAAGTGAAATTGAAAGCACACAAGTTATATACGAGACAGTCAGTGTCTTAGTATTGGTGTATTGCTTCCTCGTGCGAAGCTTTTGTATTGAGTGGAGCTAACCACTGTATCCGTGTGAGCTGAACTGCGAACCGAGCAAACGTGACAAATTACACGATGTTTCGGGCTTAACATTTTGATATATGTAGCTTTATATATGTACATATATACAAGTATATGAAATATATATATTTTAATATTTCATTCTACTGATTAATTTGTTGCTAGATTTGTTAGACTGAAAATTGGACTTAAGCATCAAGAATCAATCAGCATTACTTACGATTTCATTTAGACAGAGTTCAATGAGTTCGTTTGCCAGCTGCAAGGCCCAACACCAGTTGGCCTAAAAATTAAACAAATACAAAAATAATACACAACAACAGTTCTTAACACGTTGAAAGGCATTAAAAATACAAAGCTAATAAACAATAATATATCTAAAGCTGATATACAAATATTAATAAATATCAAGCCTGAATAAGAAATATAAAATATTAATATAAAGTATAAATATATATATTTATGTATTTACATGAACAACTTTGAGATTTTCCAGCTGGAAAGTAAATGAAAAGTGAAAATATAAACCTAATGAGTTTATATTTGTTAATATAATTACTACACAATGTTAAGCACATTTGACGAAATTTAACATACCAAACGCATATACCCATTTTCGCTTTAAAAAAAAACACAGTGTAACGAAATGAGAAGGCAAACCAAACAGATATACATATATTTACAGAATACTTCCGGCAATTTATAATTTTCTCATGCATTTATATATACATAAATGCTGTATATAAGTATATTAATTTGTTGCAAAATAAGCGAAATTGATGATAAGTAAATGACAAGTGAAATGCTTTTGTTTCATTGATTTGTGACGCGTAACACGTTGCGTATACGTTACGCATGCTGTCTGGCTTCAATTGGTGCAGTCTCCATGGTCTCCATGGGAGAATGGCTACAAGCTAGAGGCACTTTCAATTCCAATCGATGCATCGCAACAGTATGGAGTGAGGGAAATCTACTATTAATTACTCCATGTCGCATGTCCCGTGCCTCATGTCGCAAGTCGCATGCATATATGTATGTATGTAAGAGCTTCGATTGCAATAACTCAACTGATTGAATTGATGGCCTGATAGCGCACTTGCTGATTACACACAATGCTCGGCCACTTGCTCAAATAAATATATGGATTATATATACAATATATAACATTCCATATACTTATAAATTGTCTTGGGCGCCTCTTCAAGTGACAGCGGAAGCACAGTAACAACAACAGCAAACATTTGCTTTAACTTTGCGAACGGAAATTTGAAACCAAATGCAACAACAACAAAAAGTCCGAAAGTTGTTTTAATTTTATTTTATTGAGTCTTGCACCTGTCCCAAAGTGGAAATGCGATAGCATGGTGCATATTACAATTATCAATTATATACCACAGCCACGTTTCATCAGCTCAGCTGCGGAGCTCTCTGTCTGTCTGTCTTTATTAGTATTAGTGTGTACGAATCTCTCGGCGCAGTTTGCTTTGCTAAGCTCGCATTTATAAGCCCGAGGAGCACCTGTGCATATATCTGGCACGATTTGCGTTCCTTGCAGAAAAACCTTGTCGATAAAACAGTTTCTAAAGTTTCTACATAAGGTTCATTTGACAGAGCTTTTGTATAATTCATTTGCAAGTGCTAATAATTATGAACCGTAAGAACAATTAAATATAAGTGGACGACAAGGCCATCAATCTTTATACATATACAGTCGTATATTACTGAACTGTTAGGAATGACATATAGTATTTCTATTGATAATATTTCTTATTCGGGCATTCAGGCTTATAATATTTTATTTTAATCATCATCTATTTACATATTTCATGTTCATTATTCATACTCATTTCAAAAATAAAATATCAGAGATATCTTGAAATATTCGATATACAAATAATGAAATTTTAATTTGTACTCTTGATCAGTTTTGATCGAAGTTGTTTACTTCTGTCGGTCGGTTGACTTATAAACATTTCCACAGACAGCTCCATTGTGCGCGGTCTGAGTGGCCCACACTTGACTGCCTAGCCCTCAGCCAATTTGGATTGTGAGTAATGGAATACGCAGACGGAATATCTATAAATATTATTGTTATTGTTATTGTTTGGCTTTCAGCGCTTATATCTGTATATCTTATCGGAGCGATAAAGTGAGCTTTGCATTAATACGTTTACGTTCATAAATCGAATAGTGCAGAGTGCGAGAGCTTTTATTGCAAGAACCCACAAAAAAATACTGGCAAAGCTTTAATAGCAACCAAATATAGATCCCATAGAGCCCATTGATATTATATGAATATACGAAAATAGCCAAGAAGGTCAATGAATGCGCTTTGTTTTGAATAGACAAAGAGATATTTTTGCAGTCTGCATGCGTGGGGGTTGAAGATCTTGTTCGATAAACTTGGAATTGTTTGTGATTTATGCAGCCTGATCTTCAGATATGAGCACAATTTATTTACTTTACCCTAATTACGCAAAGTCTGTTTACTGCGTCTTCGGAAATTCGAAATGTCAACCCGTCAAAGTGGGGGGGACGCGCAGCCTCATTCTCCAGCTCCCTTCTATTATCAAGATGTATGCAAATTAAGATTGGGTATCCCGCCAGACTGGCGTCTGCTCTCAGCTCTCAGCTCTCGTCTGTCCTCTGCCATCTGCTGGCTCCTGAGCCTATTAACTAATGAAGTCATAAAATTGGCAGACATCATGCTTAGATATGCATATAAATGTGACAGTCTGAAAGGATAAACAGCTCCTGAAGTCAGAGTACATCCGATAGATATACATATATATACATATATATATATATCGAGAGTGAGAGAGAGACAGATGTAAAAGTCTAGGAAATTAGACGGTTTTATGATTGGGCTGACTACGGTTTGTGTGTGGGCTTCGCACTTCGTCCAAATGCGTTTTATTGATCCGATTGGACAACCACTACGTGACCCTGGCCAGGGCCCATAACAACAGCTAAAATGTGATGACAACCGGCACCACAAACGCTGGTGCCTGCCTTTGTCCGGCGGTGTCCTTCAGCCCAATCACGCACTTGCTGTCTGAACTCTAAAATCACAAACAGCAAAAACAGCCAAGGGCACCACAGGCGGGCCGAAGGGGCGCTGAAAGTAAAAGTGGCTCAACTAAAACCAATTTTTATACCCTCAAACTGAAATGACGAAAAGGAGTTTAGTGTTTGCTCTTAACTAGATGGAGCACGAGAGTAGCAAACCCAAAGCTTTGTAAGGGCGCTATTATTAAGAGAAATCTAATATAAGTTTATATATTTAGTGCATTGAATAGTTTTCTCATACCTACAAAATATCTCACATCTAAAGTAAAAATCATTTCAGGGTATTTTCCAGTCAGGCACTTCCGTCTAGAACGCCCCTGTTGGTTACTCCCTTTCTGCCCAATTGGCCAACATGAAATGTAGTTAGTTAGTTGGCCGTTTATGACGCTTTCTCTGTGGGCGCTTAACCCGGCCCTAATGATAGTCCTCTCTATGTGGCTCAACTAATTGCGCCTGCCCTGAACTTGACCAGTTCAAAGCAGATGGAATTGTCATAATTGTGGCAATGGACGATTGAAGCATGACACACTGAATAATTGAGCAAATTTTAATGATTATAATGCAACTCGTCGGCTTTTCCTCATGGAAATCCATGATAATATGAAACACATACAGCGAAAATCATGGAATGCCAGGCAATATACATACATATACATATATATAGTATATAATATGTACATACAACAATTTTGGTGTATTTCTTATCGGATTTGTATAGCGAACAATAAAAACAACAACTAAAATATAAAATAAACACGCAGCTAGATTAATAATAATTCGGCAATAGCGTGTTCATCTCTCTTAAAAGAAAAAAAAAAATGTATATACATATATATATATATATAAATATAACATCGATAATTTTGACGGGGGAATTTCCAATAAATAAATTCTTAACAATTATTTCATTTATTTTTCTGTTTTATAAAGCATTCTACATTTATAAGTATTGCTTGAGATATATGTACATATAAAATGTATAAGAGAATATAGAAATATTATTGTTTATATCGAGCGGCTTTAGGAATTATGAATTGCATGATAGACTTCTTAGAAAGATTTTTATGTTTTTTTTATGCTCACCCGAAAGTAAAGCATGCTCAGCTCTCAAACATTTTAATTAATTTTTCCGACTAAACGCTTTATCAGTATTAATAATACAGCAAAAACAAAAAGTATTTCGTATAAATTAGGTTTTTTTTTTAGCAAAATTAACATTTTGACACCAGTTCAAAAATGTGAAAAGAGCTAATTGGTTTTGAGTCTGTATAAATCACGGCATATTCTCTATAAAAAGAATCATGTAACTTAGAACAAGATAACAGAAATCCATGGAAAATCTATTCAGATGAAATCCGAGGAAACAAGTAAATGGCAAGTTACATATATATGAACTTTAGATGATGTTAGTCACCTTTCGTTCATTACGTTTTATTCGCCTCTGGGAAATTGTAGTCAGTTCTTGGAATTGTGATTAAAGAAAGCGCTTAATGAGCAAGGATTTATTATGAATGCATTATGAGTATGGGAGTCCTTACATACATCTCTATGTATATACTACGCGTGTTCATAAATTGATTATAGCTTTCTAGGAAATTAAACAGTGTGCATTCGTCGACAACATTGAAGAGGCTACAAACATACATACATACATATACACACATGTCTATGTATGTGTGTAAGTAATCTAATAGAACTGCGTTGCTCTTCTGTTTGCAAGCCTCACTCTAAGCAGCAAACACTTAAATCGTAGACATATACACACATACATGTATAGTATATATGTAGATATGTATGTGTATTGTACTATTTGCTTGTACAATTATCATTATATGATTATATCAGTATGCCATAGAGAATGCAATGCACTAACTAAATTAAATAACTCTATTTACCCAAAGACACTTTGGGTCTAAGTTGTACGCAAATTGATTTAGAAATTGTTTATCAACAAAGGCGCGAGCTCGACGAGAAAACAGAATATGTCAATAGAAGATCAGTGCGACCTATTTAAATAGTAAATAGTAAATAGTAGATACAAAACTTATGTCATATAATAAGTTTTGTTTTTGTATAGGCAATAGGCAATAATTAAAAATATTTGCAAAATTATGCAGAGAAAAACTACAGAGAATCGAAAAATAAAGCGACATCAAATGGAAACTAATAAAAAGATGTTTATTAAATTCACTATTATATACATATTATATTATATTATAATGTGTAATATACATTCAGCGCAAGAAAGGTTGAAAAAAAGAGAAAGCCACGAGAGAAAACAAGAACAATAAAATAATCAATTTATTACAGTGCATAAAAAAAAATGAAATTATGACATAAAAAAAATACATAAATCGTTTGACTGAATATAAATGAAGTTTATCTATATATCTGTATATAAATCGATCGACTGAGCCGCATTCCAATTTTATCGTTCATTCAAGTCATTTGGCTTCCTTATCAAGCATTAACTTTCCCGCATCGAACGTGAATTTCGCAAGGCAATATCGCCCAATCAAATATCAGATATCTTTTCTTATAGCACATATCAGACTCTGCTAAATATATATACATATGTATATTGAGTGATATAGTGTTCTATAGAGAGTTGCGTCCTCTTTTTAGCTGTAATCACAAAGACTATAAAATTGCCCACACATAAATAAGCCTATATTTATTTGCACATAATGAAAGAACAAAGCCGCCCAGGCTCGGTCCAGCGCTTCCTGACCTGAACCCAAAGCCGACTGCTTTGTAAAAGGGGGGCGGACAAAGGCTGCGGAATAAGCCGTGTGGATTGAGCGCTTTGGGGCTGGTTTTCTTTTAGCTGCCAATCAAATGGGGCAACAAATGGCTGCCCATTTCACATCGAATAATCGGTTTAAGTTCGCCGTTGAAGGTCACGACCCGGGGAAACATACATAAATGCGGACATACTCACTTTACATTCAAAGGTCAACATATAATGGTGCCCACAATTTATTGCAGATTCGGCTCGGGCAGCAGCCAAGCGTCACAGAACAGCGGCGATATATGCCGCATCTGCCACTGCGAGAGCGATCCACAGAATCCGCTGCTGACGCCCTGCTACTGCTCCGGCAGCTTGAAGTATGTGCATCAGATGTGCCTGCAACAGTGGCTGACGGCATCGGCGACCAACTCCTGCGAGCTATGCAAGTTCCCCTTCATCATGCACACCAAAATAAAGCCCTTCAATGAGGTAAGTGGCAGCAGCAGCAGCTGACATTTCTCTATCTCTATTACCCAAACTAATTTATTTCGCATTGTTTTTGTTTTTTTCATTGTCGCATTGTTTGGCTTCCTTTCGCTCCCTCTCTATCTGTCGCACTGTGCCGGGCCATCGATTGCATTGCGGCTGACAGTGGCGCAGCCTTGACATCTCTAGCATTGAGAGGCGCCGGCTCTGCTGCTCGGTGCTCTTCCACTCAGCGGCTGCCTTGTGCGTCATTTGGTCGCTGTGTGTGCTCATCGAGCGGGCCGCAGATGATGTAAAGCGTGGAGTGATTGGTTTGTATACCCCATTAACTTGCCCTCTCTACACATATGCAATGGCTATGATTAAACTTAACTGCATTTTTTCAACCATACACAGATTGGCCGTTCTGGACAAAGCTCGCTGTTGTTACCGTCGGACTCACTGGCGGCATTGTCTTCATGTACATTCAATGTAAGGCCTATCTGCATCTCTGCCATCGCTGGAAAGCACTCAACAGGCGAGTAGACCAGCCAAAGGAAGATAACTCGACAATCTGATAGATAGTGATTGTATATAGGCGGCTCTAGTGATATATTTCTAATTAGGATTAGCTCTGCAGCTATTACTATAGCCAAAAATTTGTAATATGTAATTTGTAAATATGTAAGAACTATCAGCATCTGTATGTAGCACGCTGTCTATCAGATATATATTTCATAGTTGAAATGAACTCAACAAGCGAGTAGTATATAAGTTAAACAAACATTTATTACCATTTATCGATTCTAATATATTTATAAATTTGCGTATAAATAGGTTAAATATATAGCAGTATATACATAGTATAGTATAATGAATCTCTATATAGTATTTATATCTGTAAACAATTTGCCAATCATCTTAATCGAAACTAGGCCTTAATAGAGTAATAGGACACATTGAAAGTTTACCTTAGGATGTGCCAATAGTTAACTTTTAAATTTGCATAGTTATGTCATTTCTAAACTCATTTAGCCATGTTTCTTTGTGGTTATGCACTTTTTAGCACAGTCGGCCTCAGAGCAAAAGCGATTAAAGTTGCCTCCGCAGCCCAGATAGATCATCTTGTTGCAGGTGTTGTGAATCATATTGTAGTACCACATTTCAGCCATGGCATACTCTGTGCACCAGCTGAATCTATTATGACCCAGATCTCTGCGCAGATTGCAAGCGTCTTTAACTGATGCGCTTCATTAGTTAGTTAATCGTTTTATCAGATTCACTTTACTTTCACTTACTTGGCTGTCCGACACATTTGGGCGTCTTTCTGACATAGCCCTCAATGTTGGCCACAATTAACGCGACGCCTATCAGCAGCGGGTAGAACTTCATTTCAATTTCAATTCCAAATCAAAACTAACGAGCCAATCGCTGAGCTTTGGTTTTAAATACAAAACTAGCCGTGGAAATATCGTTAATTATCAAAAGTAATTTCCAACATCTGTTTCCCAACAGCTATAAAAACTATTGCACAATTGTGAAAACTATGATGAATCCAGCTGTTCAATAAACTGCGTTAGCCATAGACCATATAGTATCTGTCTATCGAAAAGAAAACATATTGATTACAACGGGCGCTGAAATTATTCTATACAAGTGCTATAAATGTAGCTTGCAATAATACTTACTTCTTATATGAAGGAATAGTAGAATAGTAGTAGTAGTCCTTAATAGTTGTGGTAGTAGTAGTTACAGTAGAAATAATAGTAGTAGTAATAGGAGTAGTTTTAGTAGTACTAAGAATAAAATAATAAAGGCTGTCGCTGAGTATATGTAGAAATAGTAGTAGTTTAGATAGTAGTAGGAAAACTAGTAGTATAGATAGTAGTAGAAATAATAGAGTTGGTACAGTAGAAATAGTATGAATAGTAATAATATTAGTAAGAGAATAAAACTACCCAGTCCTCACTTATATATATATTTTTGATTGGTTGAGTTGAGCTAGCTTAGTTTAGCAGTCCATCTGTATAAACAAGTTAATTCACATAAGGCAGACACTTGAAATGAATGACTAAACAAGTGTCTAGTTCAGTATACCTCTATCAGACCCGATTATATCTCTAAGCAATTTCTGTAGATTTTCTAATGCGGCTTTATCTTCATCTTATAGGATTCTGCTCATTCAGAACGCACCGGAAAAGATTCATCCATTGGCGCCACCTTCACCAGTGGCTGCGCACCATCAGTTCAACGAGCGGCACAGCTCGCTGCATGGCCGTGGGGCCATCAATGGAACGGTGGAGATCAACGCGTCTGGTGGCGCAGGTCACTCTGTGCACGACTCGAGCTGCGGCCCCATGGAGAATGGCGGCTCAACGGGTCTGCATCAGCACCAGCAACAGATGCAGTTGCAGCTGCAGCAGCGTCTGATGAACGCCTCGCCGCAACACATGCTCCAGTTGGACGCAGTGGCGCACAGCAGCAGCAGCGCGGGCACCCAGACGGAGGACGCGCACGCACAGCATCTGCAGCAACAGCAGCATCTGCATGGCCAACAGCTTGGCCAGCAGCTGGGCCAGGTGGCTGTGGCGGCCAACATTGAGTGCTCGCAGTCGCAGCACAACTACGATCGCGACTGGGCGCTGGACGATGTCGTCTCGCAGATCTCCTCGTTTCGGCCATGTCCGCAGGGCTCGGGCAGTATGACGCCGTTCCATGACTCGATACACAATGTGCTGGAGCACTCGGAGAGCTCCAGCCGTGGGTCGGCCACAGATCTATGCGCCGGCTCACGCCAAGATCTCAGTGCCAGCGGCATATCCACAGACACTGGCCGTGAGCACGCGATGCAGCTAAGTAGCTTTAGTGGTCAGTCGATAGATAGCTTCTCTTTAACCACTTGCTAATCCCGTTCTCTCCTTTGCAGGCAGTGGTGAGCACAAGGCGCCATCGATTAGCTCTGGTGTCTCGCATGCTGTGGCCAATGGATTAGGGGGCTTTGTCTATAAGCCGCACCAGTCGAAGCGCTACTCCAACTCGTCCATTTTCCTGGAGAATCGTGATATACTCAATGACTCGCCCATGTGCGTGGGTGTGGGCACGCCGCTCGCCTACGATTACAGCACACCACCAAAGATCGATTATCGCCACTCGAGCATATTGGGCGACGGGGAGCAAGCGGAACTCAGCTGTTGTGCCACTGCTGCTGACTGTCGACTGGGCAGGGCTGTGGACGTGCGTCGCTATTCAGACACCAAGCTGGACATGGAGCAGGAAGCGATGCTGCGCTGCAAGAACACCGGTGGCAACGACACCGTCCTCGATATAGAGCTGCCAGCCTCACCGCTCTCGCCACCAGCTGCCTACGCCGGACACCAGCAGGAGCAGCAGCAGCAACACCTGGTGCTGCGTCGCTCTTTTGACAAGGGCGTGGATGAGACGAATAAGGGCAGCAAGTGCTCGAATCGTTCGTCGGGGGAGGCGCAAATAGATCGTTCCCGATTGTTCTTCAAGTCGTTGCCAAATCTCAGCAGCAGCTGTGAAAGTCTCATCAAAAAGTGATTGTCCTCTAACTCTCTTAACGTGTTTAAAGTATTTAGACAAACAGACCCACAATTTCGTATATTTTCCTTGTTTGTATCTTTATTCTTTGACCTATCCCATCCTTGGAACCGTTCCTAAGTTAATTTTGTATCTCGTAACCACATATAAACAAAGCCCATAAACAATTTTGAGACTGCAAACATAACAACAACAAAAACACAAAACACATGGAAACCAATGCATGTACGTTTAGAACAAAGAAGAGAAATACATTTAATTTGATAAAGAGAGAGGGGAAACAGTATCTATATATGAATATAGTACTATATAGACAGGCACTGAACAAATGAACAAACATACAACTTATAGATAGATATACAAGTCGACTAAATCGCTGCGATTCATGCAGAAATACAATTTGCCCATTTTCACAGCTAACGCTGGATGTCAGCTCGTCCTTCGACCCCTATCCCTGCCACTGTCCATTTTCCACCACCTGCTGATCAAGCCAAATCCATTTTTTATGTGTAGCTCATATACATATACATATGTACTAATATATATATTGACATACAAGCAACTGTAGACGTGAACTTGTGACATTTTGTATTTTGTTTCTTAACTTCTAAGTCAAATGAAAATTTTAAAAATTGATCTGTGATTAAGCGTCATTGAATATACACACATAAAACCACATAACCTAACATACATACATTAAATTTAAACTAATAATAATAATATTAACAGCAGCAAAAACACAACCAATAACAATGCATAAATATATATACATGTGTATGTAGTTTTTAACTATATTTAAAATGGCATTTTGATGATTAAAAGTGCAAAAGCCCCAACGCCTGGGAGCTTCTTCGTGCAGCTTCAGCGGCTCTCTATGTAAATCCTCAGCTTGCGATAAAATTGAAAAATGTAATTGAAATTGAAGCCGATTTAGATATATAGAATTAGCATAATATATATGTATACTGTGTGCATACTTATGATCGCGACATTTTTTATTATGCATTACATTATTTAAATAAATCTATATGCAAAACGAATAAAAAGAGAAAGCTATTCCAAAGAGAATCACGTGAACTTAATGGCGGGTGGAACTAAAAGGAGCGAACTAAGCTGCGACTGTCCGAAGAAAGGAAAATGAAAAGTAAAATGGCGGAAAAATGGCGAAAAAATTACACAGAATTTGGTTATGAGTTTTACAAACATTTTATTTTTCACTGTTTAACATATTAGTCTTTTGCTCATTACAATAAATATGACTTTTTAATAAATACATGCAATACATGAAATATGATGAGAAATGAGGTTGACTTTGGTTAACGCTGATCGACGGCTTTCTATTTGGTGTTGTTGCCATTGGTGGGGGTCTTTGGCTTCGACTCTTCCTCGTTCCGTTTGATGTTCAGATGAGCGGGGCCCACTTGCTGAATTTGAACCACGCGCTCCTTGGTCTTGTCCTCATTGGGCTGCGGCTTAGGAACACTCACGGAGAGAATGCCATCGGATGACAGAGAGGAGATGACCTTATCTCCGTCGTAGCCCTTGGGCAGGGCATAACGGCGCACAAAATGGCGCGAGATGTAGCCATGGCCATCCTCGCGCTCTTCGTGCTTGCCCTCGACCGTGATCCAATTGTCGGCCACCTTCACGTTCAGCTCTCTGGGCGTGAACTGGCTGACATCCATGCATACCTGGTAGCCATCTTTGCCCACTTGTGCGACGGGCATGCTCCAAGCATCGAGCTCACCATTCGCTAGTTTTGACATGTCGCCACGTCCGCGGCGATTGGCCAAAATCTTTCCGACCGGCGAAGTTGGGCACTCGGGATGTGGGCACTGCCATGGACTCAGCAGCGACGAGTTCATGCCCCTGGTTTGGAACTGAAGTGGATTCATGCCCATACCAAAATCGTAGACGGGATTGCGAGGCTCGTTCAAAGCATCAACCAATGTAATTAAATGCGACAGCGACATTTTCAATTTAACTTTTATTAGCGCGCGATTAGAATTAGGGTTATGTAGATTTAGTAAAGATTTTTGGCGCTTTTTTTTTACTTTTCTTTCGCTCAGCGAAGCTTCACTTTGACCAATACTGTTGTTCAACTGTAACGTCGCAGCCTGTCGTCTCCTGCTTTTATAGCCGGCAATCGTGCTCTTCTGAAAACATCGCTCAATTGCTAGAGCATAGTGAGAAAGATGAAAAAACATCGCATAGCTGTAAAGAGTATGCTCTCTACTGGCAGAGCGTAACAGCTAGAAAGAGTATGTCTGTGTGAAGAGAAGAGAGAGAATCATAGACTGGAAAACAACAGCAATGAGTAAAGAAAAGCAAGCGAAAAGACAAAACACAAAACGCACTCTTTGAATCTTTATTTACTTGTAAGTTTTAAGTACATAATGTGCTTAGTTTTACTGAATACTTGTAGTCATAATTGTTTCACACTTGTTTAGGAAATCATAATTTCATATCATAGTTTCTCATCTCTTTCCTCTTTCGCATTTCGTCTACCTGCAGGCCCTATCTCTTGTATTTATTGCGAATTATTGAAAAAACACATAAAACATTTATAGATTAAAACGCATTCCAATTTGATATTCGTTTATCATTATTATATTTTGTTTTTGTTTTCTTAGTTAATTTATAGTTCTGGGTTGCGCATCAATTATCAGTCTCTACATTCACTTAGCCGCTGCCAGGGTTGGCTCCTCTGCCGCCTTACCGGCGGCTGCGCCGTTCTCGCTTGCCTGCTTTTTGGCTAGTAGAATAGCCGCATCCTCAGCAGCGATCTCCTCCGCGCCCTTGGTGGCCTTTTCAACTTTCTCTACTGCCTCTGCAGGTAACTCCTCGACTTCGATTTTGGCTTTTTTGGCAGCCGGCATGGTGTCGTCCTCGGCATCCTCTACGACGGCAGCCTTTTCGGTTTTCGAATTCGATTCAGAGCTGGACGAATTGCCATTTGCATTGGCATCCTCGGTTTTCGTGGCGTCGGCCTCTGCCGAAGCTGTGCCACTGCTACTGACGGCATTGGCGTCGGTGGAGTCCACCTTTTCGGCAGAGGCAGCGGCTGCTACTGCAACTGTGGAGGCAACGACGGCAGTGGCCACATTATCAGTCTCAGCAGTTTCATCTACTTCCATTGACTTTGACTCTGGAGTTAGCTGCGGTTCTCCATTGTCGCCATTGGAATTGGAAATGGAAATTGAGTTGGAATTGGAATTGGTAGTGGAAGTTTGGACAACGGACTCAGTCTCTTTCTCTTTTTCTTTTGTTTTTGCATTTGCAGTTTCATCAGCAGTTTTAGCAACGCTTGTGTTAGCATTGACGTCGCCGGCAGCGTCAACGTCGGCGTTGACGTCGACGTCAACATCTGCCTCTCCGTTGCCATTGCGCTCTTCAGCGCTCTTCTGCTCGCCGCTGGAAGCGACTGCTGGTGTTGCTGCTGCTGCTGCAGCTGTTTTTAGGGTTGGCTGCTCCACGTCGTTGGCTGCACTTTTTCCAATTGGCAACTGCGCATCCTTCGTCTGCGCCATCACGGGTAGCGGTACTGCAGCCGACTGCTGCTGCGGCTGCTGCTGAATGTCGATGATGCGCTCAATGGGTCGCTCCTCGCCCGCTTTAGATGCGGGCGGCGGTGGCGGTGGTGGCGCCTTTACAGTTAGAATGCCATCCGAAGACAGCGTCGAGTGGACATCGGCCGGATCAAAGCCCTTCGGCAACATGTATTTGCGTATAAAATGACGTGAGATGACACCGTGGCCATCCTCCTTCTCGTCATGCTGCCCCTCGACTACGATGCAATTATCGATGGTCTTCACGGTGAGCTCGTCCGGTGCGAACTGCTTCACATTCATGCTCACCTGGAAGCCGTTGCGATTGACCACCGAATAGGCCGATGCCGATTTGCTGGCATTTGCCGACGAGCTGCTCGTGGCAGTTGCCAATGAGGAGTTGACCTTGTCGCCCAGCTCCTTCTCCAGCTCGAGCAGTGACTTATTGCAGCAGACGGTCTTGGCGCCGGCCACACGGCTGTAGGGATGATGGCGATGCTGAGCCTGTGCCTGTCCCCCACCCTTGATAGGCACCCACAAAACCCCACCGGTGGCTGTCGGGGAGTGGGCGTGGCCATGAGAGTGGGCGAGACGTGTGCCACGACGCGTGCTGTTCGAGGGCGACAGCTGCGGGAGCGACTGTGTGGAAGCCGATGCGGCGGCCAGCTGCTCCAGCGGATACATACCGAACCCGTCGTCGATGTCCATGCCCATACCGAGGCCCAGACCGAGGCTGGCGTTGCGATTGAAATTAAAATCATGCAGCTCCTCGGCCAGGTCGAGTATGAACGGTATTAGCGACATTTTCCGATTTAATTCACTGGGGGCTTTTAATTGTCTCTGCTTCTGGCTGGGATCTGATGACACTGACGATTGGCACTTGGCAATGGGCACTTGGCACTGGACACTAGAGCACTAAGTATCTCCAATCTGCTGTTACCGTTCCGCGTACGATCCGTTCCGGCTTCTAACTGGATTGCGTTTGAGCTCTTATGGCTGAATGTTCAACCTTTTAAACGGCTGTGCAGCGCTGAATGGAAAGCAAATGTCTGGCCTGGAAGCGTGCTGCAGCAGCGACTACGAATGCCGGCTCGTATCCAACATCGTCGTTGTTGCCGTCGCCGAGTTGTGGTGTCGGCGTAAACGTCGACGTCGTCATCATCGTCGGCTTATGCAAAGTGAGGCTGGGCCAACGTTTCCCATGTGCAATCTTTGTTTATTTGCACAGTTTTGGCAAAAAATCGATAGAATTAAACCTGGCGACGACCATCCTCGAAATAAGATCCAAAAGTATTGCTTATCAGAGACTTACGCACACGCACACGCACATATACATACATACATACATACATATATAGGCACACAGATGTATACAGTCATATACTATGTATGTACGTTTCTATGTGTCTACTTTTTCGCAATACGAAGTTGGCAATTTTCCGGTTGCGAGAACAAAGAAAGTATTCCAGGCCGCAAACGATGGAGAAACATACACAAGCCGGCACAACTTGAAAACCGGCTCCAGCCTCTCGACCTACGCCTCGGCTCTGGGCATGAGTTGCCACGGCAATATATGTATGTATGTATATACATATGAGTACTATTTATGCATACACGAACATATGTACACATACATATATACACATAAACGTTTGTCCACAAATACACTTCCATTTACTTACTACATATGCATGTATGCATATAAATGAAGACACGAGCATGTAAAGTAGCCATGTTGCAGCTGAATTCCCTGCGCTCAGCCGGCAAACAGCTAAACAGCTGAGAGGCCGCAAAAACGTATCGTGCCACAGGCCGGTTGCCGAACCGGCGCGATGATAGCAACTACAACAACAGCTGGTTTTGCTTCTCTCCACTCACTCACACAGACACATTGCCGGCGTGTGCATTTGTGTTTGTGGTCTGGAAGGCCAACCGGCAACTGAAAATTTGTTGATAATGGAATTAAGTCGAAGGGGGCAACAGCCGACAGTGGGGTAGGCGCAAAACATGCGCATTGCCCCTTAGCGAAGCTGTGTGTATACACTTATTTATACATATGTATATATATTATAGATTGCAATCGTATGCAGCAACAAAAGCTGATGTACTCACTTGAATACATGCATAAAACATACACACGTATACGTGTGTGTGTATAAAATTTGTTACACATGCAAGCAATTTCTAGACAAGAGCCAGACACTAGTTTGGAGACTTGTGCAATAGTGAAAACGACAAACAAAATAAGGGGCTGGCAACAAAGCTGGAGCTGCCCATCAATGAATACATACATACATACATATGTATATATGTATGTATATATGAATTTGCACATATGTATGTATATGCTCGTACTATTATATATTTGCAGATGTCTACACGTATGTGCATACATACATAAATATGTACATATGTATGTATGTGTGTATGTAGACAGAGCCATCGCTGTCATCAAAATTCATAGGCTGATAGAAATTTACGTACATACATACATATGTATGTACGTAAACGTAGAGTATATGTATGTACGTATGTGCGTATATGTATGTACATATATATATATATATACATATATGTATATATATATTTACATACATATAAATATGGCTCTATATAAAACACTTCATTTGTATGCTCTTGCTTAATTTACTTATCCGATATACATATGTATGTACATATGTACATTCTAGAAAAAGAATTTACTTACATACATACATGCTTATGTACATAAATATGTAGGTACATATGGATGTAAAAAAATAATTCATGTACTTTTCTATGTATGTACATACATCAATATATAATAAGTAAATGCATACATCCATATTTCCAAATACATCCATATATACAAATGTGTATACAACTGTACATACATACATACATTTGTGTATGCTTGCGTAGAGAAACGAAGAGATAGAGACAAAGACAAAATGTTACTTTTGCTTTGTCATCTTTAATTTTTCGTCTTTCTATACTACTTTCTTAATTGAAATACATCAAACCATTAATATGTTCATACATACATACATACCTGCATTTTGTACCTATAAATGCATATGTAAATTGTATATATAGGTATGTACATACATACATACATAAAATATGGTAAAATTGCCATTTATTTATTGCGCTGCAAACAAATGCAAAAAAAGTCCACAGTCAAACATAAACAAATAAATTTAAGAGTAAATGAAAATGTCTGTATCTATGTATGTATGTATGTATTAATTAACAAATTTTCTAGATATGTACATTATCTGGAAAGTTACAGAACATTCTTCTATATGCAATGTTATTGTTTGTTTATTTTTTCTGTTATCACTTTACTCGCTCTTTAACTGCTGCTGTTGCTATCTCAGCGAAACACTCTCACTTTCGTTGCTAGATAATGCTGCAATGAATATATAAAATTTATATACTTACATACATATATATGTATGTATATTTGTATATACATATCTACAAGCATCACGTACATACACACATTCGAGCGCTTTCCAGAACATTGGCAAAATTATTCAACTTTACCCAGAGCCAGAAGTTTCCTTGGCGTGCCCAAACCTGCTATCTCTCTCGCACGCACCAGCGCGCGCGTAATCGAGAGCCACCACCGAGCTGCTATAAATACGCGACGCATTTCGTTCCCGTCATCAGTTTACTTTGAAAAAGCAAAGCAACAAGCAACAAAAACTCAGCGAAAATCCTTCCTGCAAGGAACGACAAGAAACAAAAGCACAAATAATTTTTTCTACAGAAGTTATCAAGTATTATTGAAAAAGAGAAAACATGGCAAACCTACCACTTCTTTTGAGCTTGGCTGACGATCTCAACCGTCTGTCGATGGTGCCATTCTACGACACTCCTTACTACTGGCAGCGCCAAAACCGTAATCCGCTCCTGGCATTGGCTGCAGTGCCTCTTGACCAGCAGCTGCGCCAGTTGGAGAAACAAGTGGGTAGCATTGGTCCAGTATCCAAGATTGGCAAGGATGGCTTCCAGGTGTGCATGGACGTCCAACAGTTCAAGCCCAGCGAATTGAACGTCAAAGTTGTGGACAACTCGGTTGTCGTCGAAGGCAAGCATGAGGAGAGAGAGGACGATCATGGTTTCATCACTCGTCACTTTGTGCGCCGCTACGCTCTGCCCGATGGTTATGAGGCCGACAAAGTAACTTCCACCTTATCCTCTGACGGTGTGCTCACTGTCAGCGTGCCGAAGCCAGCGGCCATCGAAGATAAGAGCAATCCTCGTGTTGTCCAGATCCAGCAGGTGGGACCTGCCCATCTCAACGTGAAGGAGAACGCTAAGGAGCAGCCAGAGCAAGAAGCCAAAGCCGAGAAATGAACTGAGCATCTCATAAGTTAACTCATTTTTAGTGTGTAGATCACATTATTATTATAATCAATTATGGAAGTCAATATGTATTTGTTTGATATGCATATACTATGTATTTAACCTATTAGCACATATGCCATATATATGCATGCATACATAAGTATGTATGTACTATATATCTATAATATGTTTCCTTTACCTAAGCCTTATATATAACTTTTTCGAAATAAAAAATTTTAATTTTCCATAAATTTAATGACTTTTTATTATGGGCAGAAGCAGATGTATGCATACATACATACATATGCATACAAACAGTCTCCATGTATTGATATACAGAATGACAAAGATGTTACATACACATGAACATTAAAAGCAATCGTGTACACAACTTGTATACATGCATATGCATATAATGTATGTACATATGTACATACATACATTGGTGTGTACGTGAGAATTGTTCGGCAAATTTTATTTGGGAGAATTCGAATTTTTCAGGGAACTTTATGACATCGCTACTCTCAACTCCCATTCGAGTCAATGTTTTATGTACATACATGTATTTAAATATACATACATATGTATGTATGCAGGAAAAGCTCAATAGTAGCATAATGCTGCATTTATGTAGCTGCTTGAGTTAAAAGCTTGCGAGTTTCCCTTAAATGCATGTGCAACTTAAAAGAGAATTTATATTTACACACAGATACATCTACATGAGTGACGTGCATACATACATATGTATGTATATACATATATGTATGTGTGTATTGATTGCAAATGCAGAGAAAAGAAAACGAGGATAAAGAATGACAAACAAACCGGTCTCGGCAAACAGACTGCAAGTTCAATGTACTTGCAAAATGGCAACGTTGACGTCTGAGTGGATGCGTTTTTCTGCCAGTGGTTCGCTAAATTTACTTTAACATTTTAGCAAAATGCTATACGAATTTTAAAAAGCAGGCGCTTTATATAAAGAAATACTTAAAATATCGTACATACATACATACATATATGCACATAGTACATGCATACATATGTATATATGTATGTATATACATACATATGTACATTCATATGTAAGCATATGTACATACATATGTACAGAAATTTCAAGAAACTGGTAGAATTTTATTTATGGGAAAGAGAGCAAACAAAAAAAATGCCGGCTGGCACACAAATACACGCACATACGTACAGACATACTTGCCGACAGAAAGAGCGAGCAAATTCAAGAGCGAACCAGAACAATCGTCAAATGTTATCTCTGTGTGCGTGAGTCAGTTTGGCGTCGGTATAAAAACCCGCTGCGTTCCTTGCGCCTCTTCAATTCTATTCAAACCGTCGTTTAAAACACGTCTGCTGCGCAGAAGCAATCAAAAAAAGTTTCAATTATTTACCAAGCTAAAAAAAAGTGAAAGAGTAAAAATGTCAATTGTTCCACTATTAAGTCTGGCTCGCGATCTAGATAGCGCCTACAACGACTGGGACCATTTCTTGGACGACGATTTCGGCTTCGGGCTGCATGTAAACGAGTTGTTCCACCGTCCACGTCTGGTGATACCACATCACTTGCATCGTCGCCGCTCTCACTTCTCACCTTACGAGAGAAGCCATCAGTTGTTGCCCGCACGTCGTCGAGCCTCCGCTGGGCAGAATTCACTGCTGCCCACTGTTGGAAAAGATGGATTCCAGGTGTGCATGGATGTGGCGCAGTTTAAGCCCAGCGAGCTGTCTGTTAAGGTTCAGGACAAAACCATTATCGTCGAGGGAAAGCACGAAGAGCGTGAGGATGGACATGGCTTGATCCAGCGCCACTTTGTGCGCAAGTACACCTTACCCAAGGACTATGATGGCAACGATGTGGTGTCGACAGTTTCCTCAGATGGTGTGCTGACTCTGAAGGCGCCTCCGCCACCTAGCAAGGAGCAGGCCAAAAAAGAACGCATTGTTCAAATCCAACAAACCGGCCCTGCACACCTCAGCGTCAAGGCGCCAGAGGGCGCTGCCGACGGCAAAGGCAAGAGCGAAAATGGAAGCGAGAAAATGGAGACAGGAAAATAGAAGAGGAACGTCGAGGGAGAAGAAATTTAGTCGAAATCTGAGTGTTGCCACACTGTTCGGAGAGTGCAAGACTAAAATCATACACATACACACATAAACACACACATACACAAACACACGCAAAGACATCACAAAGTACGTCACATTTAGCTATAAGGTATCGAAATGTATCCATTCGAAATGTAAAAATTCCATTTTGTTAGCTATGTACATGTAATGTAATTCGTATTTTCATCCACTCATGTAAATCTAATTTCATGACATTTAAAAGAGCAACGGCAACACTCGAACCATATGTATTCGCATTTATGTTTACTGTGAGAAACCAATAAAATTAATTTAAAATTAAATTCGGCTTGAATATTATTGGAAATGGGAATATTACTATTGTTCAAAGAATAATGTTGACAGTGACAAATAGGCATATCCATATGTACATACGCATGTCGATATGCATGTATGTGTGTATGTATGTACGTAAGTTGGGTACTTTTTTTAACATCGTGTGTACATAAATATGTACATTGTATGTATGCATGTGCTCTTAGTACATAGCACATAGATACATATTCATATATGTACATATATATACATACATACATATACATATGTATGTATGTAGATGGGTATGCAAAAGTATGCTCATGTACATATGTATATTTACATACATATGTATGTACATACATATGTATACTAAATGTATTGTTGGACATAGGCACATTTTTGGGCATGTCGCGATAATTTAGTTTCTCGAAAGTACAGCCAATCGTATATACATATGTACATACATACATACATACATATGTATGAATACAAGTATTATTGGGAATACACACACATGTACATACATATGTATGTATCCAAATGTATTTTAAATGCAACTTTTAGGTTTCCCTCAAATGCAATTTGAAAATACATACATACATACATAGTACATGTATGCATAAAAATAAAATCGCAAGCATACATACATATAAACATATGTATGTACGTACATATGTACATATTTACATCCGCATATGTATCTATGTATGTACATATGTATATGGCTGCGTATGTACAAATGCGTGTGCACATCTGATGTATGTATGTATGTACATATGAATGTATGCATGTCTGTATGTATGTACATGTCTACCTTCTCTTTTTATTAAAAAAAGTATAAAAAAAAGAGTCAGGAAAGAAGTCCCGAAGTTGCCGGTTTTAATTGTTTTAGTCATTTTGTTTGACTTTTTGCACAGTCTGACATTTTCTCTCATTCTCACACACACAATATTAACACATTTTCTCTCGTATATTCGATTCTCTTTTTGGTTACCGTATTCGTGACACACACGAATACTCTAGCAAGCACGCGATGTTTCTCGCTCTGTTTCTCTGATTCGAACACACACTCGTAAAAGCTCGATGCTTCTAGAAAATCACTCAGCCGGCTATAAAAGGCCGCTGGCTGAGTTCATTGCTTCAGTTGATAAATAATAATCATCAAGTGAAGAGCTTCACAGCCCTAACAAAAAAAAAAAAAAAAAACAAGTAAACCACTTTAAAACTACTTTAGTCGTTTGCAAAAGTGATACGTGGATAAATAACAAGAAAGATGTCGCTATCTCAACTTATTTCTTTGGTGAACGAGCTACAGGAGCCTCGCACTCCCCTCTACGATTACGGATTGGGAATTCATCCAATTCAGCTGCAACCTAAGACTACTCGTCAGCTGCTGTTGAGCCCCTGGAGTTTCCCAGACTATCCAGCTTCGACGGTCGGAGAGATTTTGGCCGGCCGTCGCAGGCGTGACTTGGCCAAGTCCGCAAATGGATCTGGAGATGGCTGGCACTGGCCCCTCTCGCAAGTGGGCAAAGACGGATTCCAGGTGTGCATGGATGTCACTCAGTTCACTCCCAACGAACTGAGCGTCAAAGTAGTGGACAACTGCGTTGTCGTCGAGGGCAAACACGAGGAACGCGAAGACGACCATGGCTACATCTCGCGCCATTTCGTGCGCCGCTATGCTCTACCAAAGGGCTACGACGGAGATAAGGTCGTCTCCTCACTATCGTCCGATGGCGTACTTACTGTGAGTGTACCAAAGCCACAACCCATCGAGGACAAGTCCAAGGAGCGTGTGATTCAAATTCAGCAAGTGGGCCCTGCTCATCTGAACGTCAAGCGCAACGAGGACGAGTCGAAGGAGAACGAGAAGGACAAGAAGGAGAAGAATGCTAGCAATGGAAAATAGAATTTGGACGCTGGCAACTAGAAGCTAGAACAGCCTCACAACCTGTGTCATCATTCCTCATTCCTCACCAAAAATCTCTAATGTATTTATTAGATCATATATGTTAATGAACAGAAGACTAATAATTATAATATAAAATAGTTCCAACTGAAGAAAAGAAATTGTTTTTCGGAATAATTCCGGAAGGCGAAAATATAAAACACATTTAAAAACTAAAAATTTTTAGTTATTTATTTTTAGTTTCGCATTTTAGCTGGGGTTTAATAAAGTTTATGTCGTTGAGCAGTACTGCAAAACGTATTTTAGACTTTCGTGTTGGGTAAATTCACTTAGTACTTGGTTCTGGCAAAATCTACGAAGAAGAACCAAAACAGCAAGAAAATCCCTAAAAATGCCAGCGTTGGTAACTCTAGACGTTGTGTTTTATAACTGATCTGTTCCAATGAAGACTTGTAAAATTCAATTTATTGCGCATTTAAGATTGCATCAAGCATTTTCTGTATTTGTGTACTTAAAATAAAATTAAAATTCTCGATGCAACGCGGTGGCCATAAATAGTTCACCTTGAATTTGAATATTTCCCAATGATGCGAAAGAGGCTATAAAGATGTAAGATGTCAGCAGCTGAAGAGGGGGCGCAGCTACTTCCAGGGCAGCGCTAGTTTTCCTGTTTCATGAACGCGGACAAGACGTTCGCTGGGCGTATAGTATTTGGATGGTGGCGGCGGCGGCGCCTTGATGGTGAGAATGCCATCCGAGGAGATGTCGGAGATGACTTCGTTGGCATTGTAGCCACGCGGGAGCAGATACTTGCGCACAAAATGTCGCTCTACGTAGCCATTGGCGCCCTCGCTGCGCTTGTTGTGGTTGCCTTGCACAATGATGTAGTCGTCGTTGGTCTTCACCACAATCTCGTGCGGCCGGAACTGGCGCACGTCGATGTCAATGCGAAAGCCCTTCTCATCCGCATGCACCCGCTCGCCGGAGTAGTAGTTGTCCCAGCGCATGGGATATGACCAGTCGTAGGGCGTCGATTGTATTAGCTGGTTGCGCACTCGCCTGCTCACCAGCTCATCCAAAGGGCGCAAGTAGTCGCTGCTGCTGCTGTTGGCGGGCCACCAGATGCGCGGATCGTCCCATAGGTACGGGTACAGCTGGAAGTCATATGGCTGATAGAGTGGACGTGGTCGATCCAATTCCCGGGACAGATCGCGATACGTGGTCGGCACCAAAGTCATTTCTACTAGCTTACTCGTCTCGAATGCTTATAAAATTTGTTGATGGTGCTGTCGGCGCTTTTATAGCCTGCCCCAGACAGAGGCCACGAAGTCAGAGACGACGACAACGACCAAGTGGCCTCGTGCGATGGCTGCGCCGGATGCGGATGGCTGATGAATCATTTGCCCGATGCGCGAAGGCCAACAAACAAGACACAAGCGTGTCTAACGGCAACTGCAAAATGCAATAATATTGGACGCGAGTCAAGTGGACGTCATCAAGGAACCGGCCGTCGGCCCAAGGGGCGGGGCGGGCGTTTTTGGGGCGCCGAGTGCATGCGGCGGCTGCCAAGCGTAATAAAACGAAAGTGTATTTGATTTGTTGATGTGTTTTTTATTTTTTATTTATGTAAATACTAATTCTACAGCTATTATTGAGGGACTAGATTAGCTTATAGTATAGGATTCACTGTTCCTTCTTCTCCTGCTCCTTTTCAGCAGGTTGATCCAATGGAGGATTTGGCTTTACATTCAGTTCAGCTGGTCCCGTTTGTTGTATGGGCACAATGCGTTCCTGGAGCGCCGCCTCAACAGCTGGCGGATTGGGTACACTGATGGTGAGAACACCATCGCTGCTCAGGCTGGACGTTGTCTTCTCTGCCTCGTAGCCCTCGGGCAGAGTGAAGCGACGCAGGAAGTGACGGGAATAGTAGCCACCTTGTGCATCCTCCTCCTGCTCAGACTTTCCCTCGATGACGACGCTGTTGTTGACGGTCTTCACTGTCAGTTCGTTGGGCTTGAATTCGCTGACATCCAGTGACACCTGGTAGCCGTTCTTGCCAATGGTGGCTGCCGGTGTAAACTGCTGCTCCTGTGTGCGTGCTATCTGCTGCCAATTGCGAGGCACAGTCAAGCCTGTCCACATCTGCGGCTCGTGGAAAAAGGCCTGGAACGGCGACACACGCGGCAATCTGGTCAGCTCCTCGGCCATACGTAGAAACATGGGTAACGAACGCATCTTTGTTGAAATTGCTTGATTTGTAATAACTTTAATCACTTGTGAAATTCTCTCTTTTTAGCTTTCTACTGCTTGTCGGCAGTTGTGTTCACTTTGACGTACTTTGTTCAAATGTGGAGAGCTGAAAATGCCGGCTGCCTTTTATAGGAAATGTCAACGCATTCGAGAATGTTCTCGCACTCTCCCGACTTGGCAGCTGATGCAATTGTGAATATTCTTATACGGCTGGCATTTACATAGATAGTATTTGTTGAGGGCATGCTATATACTATTGCATGTAAAGTAAAAATACTTTTCATTTCTTTTAATTGTTGCTCAACAATGGAAGTTTCAAGAAATTTACCAAAGCGCAGCAGTTTTTATTTACAAACACCAGTGCGGTAGGTCAGTTCAAAAAATAAGAAAGAGAATGAGAAAAAGTGAGAGAGGGAGGGCAGTGAGAGTGGTTTATTGAGAGTATACACCGGTGTGTGTTCTCAGCAAAATGAGATTGCTTACATGTGTGTGTGTGAGGCATGGGGCATGGGCGTAGTAAAAGGGTCTGCTCTTTAAAATAATTATGATATAAGCTGCGCGTGAAAAAGATTAGATTTTATCTTGTCAAAATAATAATTATGTATGTATATTAAAGGCGTAGCTTCCACCTCCTCTCACAATTACCTACATCTCTTATATTCTTGCGTCTAACCCATTTTCAACGTGCGTGTTAAACTTGTTTATATATAGAATTTATATACATACATACAAGCAATTATTGCATTAAAATCAAATTTATTCCGCAACCGTATATGTATATTGTTTATTTAAATAATTGTATATCATGTATAAGTAAATTTGAATTAAATTATATTAGAAGCCAAAGAGTAAGTGCAGAGTGGAATGTTTTGCATTTTAGATCTCACTGCGGAAGACCTTCCTTCTCGGCCCACTCCAGCCAGGAGCCACGATAGACGCTCAAGCTGTGAGTAAAATATGAATATTAATATATAGATAACGTTCCAGACCGGGGGGAAGGAGAAACCCACTTGGTAAAGCCCACAGCCTTGGCGATCTCTGTAGCTTCCTGAGCACGTCTGCCCGAGCGACAGGTGAATATGATATTTGCATCATTCGCCGGCTTTGCTCGTCCATATTTCTTTTCGAACTCCTCCGAGTCGGACTTCAATGCGGCCTCCAGTTCGGGCACTGAAAGCCATTAGAAATATAAATATAATAATCAAAAAGTATTTAGCTTAATTTTATACACACAGGGCACATTGAGGCTGGAGGGGATGCTGCCCGTTGCCGTCAACTCCTCCGGATTGCGCACATCGATCAGGTAGATCTCTGGATGGTTGGGCACATCTTTGACTTGTTCGTATGTAGCGTCCATTATTTTGCTTGATTAATATGCAAATTAGCAGCACTCGAAATAGTGCTTTCACCTGGTTTGATTGCTGACGGATCACTAAGTTCTCTGTTTGACGAATCGTTGGCACTTATAATGGGCAAGAGCGAAGCTACTGTCAAGACGATGACGAAAGCGTCGACAGCGACAGCGACGGCGGCGTTGGCAGCGCCAATATTAATGTTTATCAGCCGCATGCTTCAGCTACAATAAAGCAACCGCAGCTGGACTCAGATTCGGATTGTTAATCGAAATCTAACCTGTAGCCGGTTTTCATTGTTGTTGTCGCTTTGTGGCTTAGCGCTGGCGACAACCGCCACCGGCCAATCATCGAATTTCACCTCAGACGCTGCTTCAATGCGAATAGCGTTAAATGTTTTGTTTTACAGACAGACGCCAGCAGCAGTTGCTGGCTGTTTACTATTTGCAAAATGTATCGAGTTTAAATTCTAGCAAAGGGTGTCTGCGGTTTGTGTTTGTATTTTTTGGCGCGCTCTCAAAGTTCGACCTCGACGTTGAAAAAATTGCATTGAATCCAGACAATTCCCAAAGCTTTTCCATGAAGAACTTCACTCACTTGTTTGCTCTCAAAGCTCAAGTTAAATAAATTCCCAATTGTTGCTTCCAGTATCCAAGCTTTTTCAAGTGCCGGTTCTGCGGCCTAGAACTTCGCGATTTCGCCGCAATCAACTCAGTTGTGTTCGCTCCAAAAAGCTTGAATAACTGCATTCAGTCCAGAAAATTCCCAACAACAGAGCTTTTCCTGGCTTGGGTATAAAAGTCAACTCTGTTCTCAGCAACTTCACATTTGCGTCGCGACATTCGAGTTGAGTTGTGATTGGAGCATTAGCCCAATAAAACCTTCGCTAAACAATCAACCCCTCACCTACACACGGAAAGCAGCTGGGTTCAGTGAACCTCCACCAGATACAGATTCTCAATTTGTGAATTGATTTCAAGCGAAAAAAGAAGAAAAATGCCAGACATTCCATTTGTGCTGAATTTGGATGGCCCTGAATCCATTTTCTATGGCCACGACATGTTCCCCAACCGCATGTATCGTCGGCTGCATTCGCGGCATCACGATCCCCTGGATTTGCATACATTGGGTATGATTGCCCAGTTGGGTGCACATGCTCGTCATCTGGTGGCCCAGAAGCACAGTGGCGAAATAGGCAACACCCGATCCACTGGCCAGGACAAAGAAGGCAATTATCAAGTGCATCTTGATGTGGGGCTGTTCGAGCCAGGTGAGCTAAGCGTCAAGCTGGTGGATAATTGCGTCATCGTTGAGGGGAAACACGAGGAACGCGAAGACGAACACGGACACGTCTATCGCCATTTTGTGCGTCGCTACCCCTTACCCAAGGAGTACAATGCAGACGCTATCGCGTCAACTTTAACTGACGAAGGAGTTTTGACTATAACGGTGCCCCCCTTAAATCCCAAAGTTGAGGGAGCCGAACGCATCATACCGATTAAACACGTCGGGCCATCCGATCTCTTTGTCCAGAAGAACAACGGGCAAAAGGAGTCAATTGAAGGCGCAGCCAAGTAAACAGCATAAGAAGCGGCAGCAGCAGCCAATGATGCACTCAAGTGATTTACCAAGACTCTCGTTTTTAGTGCACTCTCAATATAATCAAATAATGCACGCTACATTTTTTAATAATTCATATGTATGTAATACCCATTGGAGCATTTATTTATTTAAATTTTAGCCCTATATAATAATTCATATAGATTTAAAATTTACTCAAATTATGCATCAGTATTAATAAATGTATTTATCTATCTAAAATTTTAGTCTCTTATATGTATTTTTAATAAAAAGTATGTTTATTTGTTAAGTACTTTTAATCAAAGACCGCCATATTAATTAATCGAAATAGTCGATATGTTTTTTATTATCAGCTGTAATTATCGGGTGGGTTGATTTTATGGTGAATGTTTGTGAATAACAGTGCCATAATGAGTATCTCTGCATTCTGACATCGATTTTTTAAAGTGACCATCATGTGGCTCCTATTGGGTTATTTTTTTATATTTCTACTTGGCCACACTAATCACAACAATAATAAATAAACACAAAATGCTGCAACGCGTTCAACCGAGAGTAGAAAATCCACGTTATGGCCAATTAATTATAGGTCCACCTGGTTCTGGCAAGACAACGTACTGCAACGAAGCGTATAAATTCTATAAGGAGTTGGGTCGGCAAGTGGGTGTCGTCAATTTGGATCCAGGCAACGACAACATGTCCTATCAACCGGTAGTCAACGTAATGGAGCTGATTACGGTGGAAGATTGCATGGAGCACATGCAACTGGGACCCAACGGCGCACTCATGCATTGCGCCGAGTACCTGGAAGAGCATTTCGAAGATTGGCTGCTGCCGGCACTGAGAAAACAGAGTGCAACCCACAATTACTTTCTCTTTGACTGTCCTGGTCAAGTGGAGCTCTACACACACCACACTGCCATGGCGCGAGTTTTTGAGCGCTTGGAACGGGAGCGCTACAACTTGGTGACAGTTAATCTCATCGATTCGCATTACTGCTCAGAGCCAGCTAAATTCATAGCCACGTTGCTGATGGCGCTGAATACGATGATGCGAATGAGTTTGCCGCATGTGAATGTGTTGTCAAAGGCGGATCTGCTTCGTAAACATGAATCGAAGCTTCACTTCAACGTTGATTACTACACGGATGTGCTTGATCTGAAGTATTTACTGGAGAAACTAGATGATGATCCCACAATGCGCAAATATCAGAAGCTCAACGAGGCTATTTGCTCCCTGGTGGAGGATTATGCGCTGGTTTCCTTTAAACTGCTGGATGCTTTTAGTACAGACAGCATGCTCCGGCTGCGCAATCACATTGACAAAGCGAATGGCTATGTGTATAAAGCGGGCGAAGAGCAAACGGTGAATTCTCTGCTAGCTTGCGCTGTGGGAGCTGAAACCGAGGCCATGCGTCAGCAGCGAGATATTGAACCTTATACGAATCAGCAGTAGCAAACAGATGTATATAATATATGTATATATAATATAGTTATATTTATCTTAAGTTTGGAAGTTTTGTTTTCTCAACATCCCGTCGCCAAAATTTTGCTTCGAGAACTGAACAGATTGTGAACAAGTAGAAAATATCATTTTGGTGACTGGTATTTCCCGTGATAAACTGTGCTTTCAAATTGTTCTACAAAATATATATATTAGTTGCTAAGCAAATAAATGAAATTAATTACATATATATTCGAATTTTAATTGATATATTTAAATGAAATGTTCCTAATCACTGTTTTTATGGGCAGCACTATGCAGAAAAAATATCGGTTGAAATCGATAAGCAGTGTTGTCATTGATAGGTAATTGACACTATTAGCCGTTACCAGGAAATTGCGCGGTTAGTTTTCGGCAGTTTGATTATGAATTTAACTAGAAGGTTTAACTTCATGAAAAATACGCACAGATTATTTAATTCATTCATGTTTTGCATACAGATAAAGCTAAATGGCGACGTAACTTCTGATTTGAGTTTCGCTTATGTAATTTATTTATAAACTTAACCTTGGCATATTCATTAGTTCAGTTTCATAATATCTTGGAATGCGAGAATTCGTTTTATCGCTTCCAAGTTGCTGAATTGCACTCCCAGCTTCAACTTGGCACATTTAGCGGCGATAAGGCGAGAAAAAAGTGAGTTTGAAATGCGAACTACACAGAAATCAGCATATTTAACGTTGACTTTAGGAAGCACAAAAACAGTGATTAAAACTAAAAACAAAATGGAGTGGGGCTTATGTTTGGGGCCTATAAAAGGCGCTGCGAATCCAGTGCTTAATTAGTTGCGTTCGCGCGGTCGCCTCGACTAACGGGTTCTAATTGTGAATATGTGCTAAAGTGAAAAAAATAGTGAAGTGTTTAATTGCGCAGTGAATCGACAAGGATTCGCAGGATAGCGGACAACGAATATTGAATACCTCAAAATCAAGGATAAAACGGATTACCAGTGATACATGCAATACAAATAAAAAAATATTTGTGCCTGCCATAAAATGGCATCCAAATACATTTATTTCTTAGCATGGTTGCTAATTCTCAACCAAGTGTGCGCCGAAGAAGGCGATATAATTATGTCTGATGATGATGATCAAGATATAGAGTGAGTGAAGGAATATGAATTGTGTGTAAAGTACAATAGAATGTATTAAATTACATTAAACATGTGTAATAAACTTGAAGCTTTTCCTATACAACAGAAAATGCTTGATCTAAAATAAAAATAATATAAAAGTGAAATGTTCTTTCAATATATGTATATGTATACTATATACCATATAAGCATATAATTCTATTCTATATACTATATTTAACTTTTATAAATCATCAAAATATATTTCTGGAATTTCAAGCGACTTCCGCTTTTGCTACGCAATTTTTTTTTTCTTAGATAAAATCATGTTGTTTAGCGAAAACATATTTCGTATTTGAATTTATATTTTATCTAATTGAATGCCTTTGGGCACTGTATTCGCTACTTGATAGTCCCCTGGCTCAGTCGGCTCCGGATGTTGATAATAAGGAACGCCAGGAACGTCATTTCGATTTTGGATTTCGCAAGGCGCCTGCTGTGAGGTGCGCAATATATGAAATTATTGTAGGAATATATATATATGTATGTAATATTGATATCAAATATTAACCTTTAGTGGCCTCTATACCAACAACTACAAAGATGCCCAGGCTGCAGGCGTTGAGTTTGGTGGAAATCTGCTTCCTATTAAGGGCAGGCTGAAGACCTCCAAGTGAGTAGTATAGTCAAAGCAGTTATATTGGAGCATATATATAAATTGAAAACTCTCTGCATGCAGTGCAAACTTCTTCAACAATGCTCTTGGCATATTCGGCTTGGGAAAAGGGTAAAATTTCTCAGATTATTTATATAGTTTGTATATCATATATCACGTAATTCCCCAGTGTGAAAGGCAACTTTTATGGAAATACCGCTCAATCGTTGAGAGCGTATAGCAAATGCGCAGAGTTTCTATTGCCACAAAATGTGCTATCCCAATGCGATGGCAAGGGTAGGTGTCAAGTGTATTGCCCGGATGGTTACACGTTTTCCCAGGACACAAAATCCCTGGAACTTTTTTGCAGCAACGATGGCTGGATAATAGTCAACTCGGACTTTACTCGAGTGCCGCCTTGTCAGGCTGTGTGCCTTCCGCCATGCGAGAACAATGGCATCTGCCTACAAGCAGGCATATGCCAGTGTCCGGAGAACTATTCAGGCCCGTTATGCCAGCACAAGAAGTCCGTGTGTGCCGCCAAGCCGCCAGTGCCCAAGAATTCCAAGGTGTCCTGCAAAAATAAGTGAGTTGAGTGGGCTATATCAACCAATATATATATAGAATATAATATTTTCTGTTAGTATTTGTAATGCTCAATGCATGCGAGGCTTTCAGTTCCCGGACGGCAGCAGCATCGCCAACATCGAATGCCGCTATGGTCAGTGGGTGCATTCCAAAACTGGCCTTGCCAAGATGCCAGACTGTGGCCGTAAGTGAACAGCATATTCCAGTTATATTATGTAAGCTGACCTTCCATATCTTCAGCAACCTGCTCGCCGGCATGCGAGAACGGTGGACAGTGCATCAGCTTCAACATCTGCCAGTGCTCCAAGATGCATCGGGGCTCATATTGCCAGTACAGTGAGCATAAATCCAGATATTCTTAAATTAATTTGAATACTTATAATTTGTATATCAGGCATTTCCAGTTGCAATGTAACCAATACGCATTTCAATGGCAACTATAAGTGCGCCTACGACATGGAGGAGGCACGCTGCACCTTTAGCTGTCCACAGGTGAAGGGTCTGCAGGTGCAAGGGCGCCTCGACATGGAGTATAAGTGCAGTTATCGGGATGGTGTTTATTTGCCTGCGCCATTGCCAAAGTGCATTTTCCGTAAGTCTCTCCTTCAACTATAATAAAAAGAAGTTTAATAAATTTAATATTATATTTAAATGCACAGCTCCTGGATATACCATTCGATCGGGCAGCGTGCAAGTGACTCATATGCAACAGCCGGGCCGCACGTATCATGGCGCCTTTAGCGGGGAGATTACCTCGGAGCTGAGAAGTCAACGGGAGATTCTGTTGGCGCTGCTGGCCAAGTACAAGGATCTGGAACGTCGTAGCGTAGGTCGATATTAGAAATGATCGTGCAGCACCTCATGCTTTATCTACTGTGCAGGAATGGTGGTCATCGGAAGAAACACAGTCAACTCTCAGCAGTTACTCCCTATACATGAGCGGCGAGATGGATGTGGTCATCGATCAGTCGCCAAGGCAAGCGATGTGCACCACCTGGGGTGGCATCAATATAAAAACTTTCGATGGCTTGGTTTTCAAGTACGTACATATCGATTAGTTTAAGTTAATGAGTAAATTTAAATAGGCTTAAGAGTGATTAGCCGATTGGCCACGATAAGTACTTGCAATATCGATAACCTAAGCAAATGAGTGTATTGCGATAGCTGAGATAGCAATATTAATCGGCTGTTTGTTCTTATTGCCGCTATAATTTCATTTTACGGTTAGAGCACCTTTGTCCTGTTCCCATACCTTGATCCTGGACAAAGTGTCTGGCACTTTTGATGTAACGCTGAAGGCATGTCCCTATGGCTCTGGCTATGGTTGTGCGCACGCACTGAAGATTCAATGGCAATCGGTGCTTTATGTCCTGGAGAACTTAAGTGAGTAGCATTTTACAAGAACTCTGAATTGAAATGATTTTCACTTGCTTTATAGATGGCACCATACGCTTGTCCACGCCCAACAAACAGTTGCCCATACCCGTTCAGGTAATGGGCATGAAGGTGATGCCAGTGGCGCAGCATGTTCAAATTGATCTGGAATCAATCGGGCTCAAGCTCGACTGGGATCATCACCAGTATGTGGCCGTGCATGCAGGTCCCGCCATGTGGGGCAAAGTGGGTGGTCTGTGTGGCTCTCTGGACGGTGATTATCGCAACGATTTGATGTCTCGAACTGGCAAGAAACTGGAGACAGTGAAGGCATTCACCGATACATGGCGTGTGGATGACCACAGTGATATGTGCCGAGTGGAGAACAGTGCCGAATTGGAATTTGGCATTGAATCCTGTGAGCAAAGCAAGCTACAGAAGGCAGCCACTGTTTGTGAGCGTTTGCTGGCCAACGAGAAGCTCAGCGACTGCATCAAACCTTTCAACTATGACGCACTCATCCGCACCTGCATCGCCGACTATTGCAACTGTGCGAATCGCGAGAAGCCCGAAAGCTGTAATTGCGATGCCATTGCCATGCTGGCCAAGGAATGCATGTTCAAGGGTATTCAATTAGAGCACGGCTGGCGTAATCTGGAAATATGCCGTGAGTGAAGAGTTTGTATACATCATCATATCTCATTTACTTATCATTATGGAATATTTCAATAGCTATCAGCTGCGGCTTTGGACGCGTCTATCGCGCCTGTGGGCCGGATGTGGAGCCAACGTGTGAATCAGGTCTGACAGCTGCTGCACCCACAAAAGACAAGTGCAACGAGGGCTGCTTCTGTCCCGAAGGCACGGTCCAGTACAAGGATGCGTGCATCACTCGAGAGCTCTGTCCCTGCTCGTTGCGTGGACGTGAATTCAAGCCAGAGGCAACGGTCAAGAAGAACTGTAATATTTGCACCTGCAAGAACGGGCAATGGAATTGCACAGACGATAAGTGTGGCGCACGTTGCGGCGCTATTGGTGATCCTCATTATCAGACTTTCGATGGCAAGCGATACGATTTCATGGGCAAGTGCTCGTACTATTTGCTGAAGACACCCAACATGTCTGTGGAGGCGGAGAACATTGCCTGCTCCGGCGCCGTGTCCGAGGCACTCAGCTATGCGGCGCCCGATGACCCCTCTTGTACTAAGTCTGTAACCGTGCGATTCGTACTACGAGACGGTACTCCGACCACAATCAAACTAGATCAAGGTTTAACGACGGTCATCAATGACAAGCCCATTGCCAAGCTGCCA